GAGTTTAGGTATGTTTTTGTTTGTATACTTTATGTGCTTTTGTTATTTGCTTATTGGATATGAAAAGTTGTTTGGTCTAGGCTTCATGTTCTCTCTTTTGATTTTATATTGGAGAGGACTGGTGGCTTTAGTCCTGTTGCTCAGAACTTCCCACAGAGGCCCAAGTCAGATGAGGATCAGAAGTTCTTAGGCTTCCTCCTAAGGTCTGGGTCTCTCTAGGCAACAGCAGCAGTACAATTCGGGAGGCTTTCTAGGTAGAAGTAGGATTCAGGGCTCTCAGGCAGTCAGGGAATGAGACTGGTCTCAGGAGTCCCAGGCAAGCAGGGAAGGAGGCTGATCTCAGGAATCCCAGTCAGGTTGGGGGGTGTGGACAGCTGAGGAAGAAGGCTGGTCTCAGGTGTGCAAAGGCAAGTTCAAGATGGGGGCAGGCTCTGAGGGTTCTAGGGAATTGGACTGAAGAATAGGGTTGGTCTGGCTGAAAAGGATCAGGAAGCAGTGGGGAATCTGGGTCAAGAGTATAGTCCAGAGAGTTCTGGGGTGCCCAGAGAAGTAGTGGGCCTGTGTCCATGCTAGAAAGAGAATGGGACGTGGGAATGATTTCCTTTTAATAGTCTCAACTGCTGACATTTAGCAATGATTTTGTTATAGACCATCCACATTGCCCTGGGGTCTCCTGGTGCAGGTGTACCAGGATGACCACTGCACAGAGACTCTCTCCCTGAAGACAAGATTCCCATAGGAGTCAATTGCTAAAACTGGCCAAAGTAGTTCTTTGACTTTCAAATCCTTTTTGAACTAATGAAAATCCATCTTATCAAAATCCATGTATCTTGTACCTACCTTTTAGAAGCAGAATTATTGGTGCTGAACTTCAAAGATTTTTCTAAAGTAGATATATTCCCCTTTTTTAATAGGTGAATATGCTCTGAGATGTGAATCACTGAGTGCACCTATTGGTCAAGGAACATAGTTACATGTGTGCAGTAAGGAGGAGGATGGGTGCCTCTGTGAAGGTAGGAGAGAAACGGCAGTTACTGCTTTGACTTAGTGTCAATTTCATGCCAGAAAAACTTAAGTGAATATTGTATATATTTTACTATCTCAAACGTGACTGTCTTGGACCACTTTCCATCTCTCAACATATCCTAAGGAACTCTTATGATCATCTGAGAACCCATAATCCATTGAAGAAACAAACAATAATTAAAATGCATTAAATACTCAGCTCCATTCACCTAATACCCCACCTTCCTTCCATGTTTTATAGGTTAACACAGGTATCCATCATTTCTACATGGTGTGCCTTTTCTGTTTCTATTAAATATTTAAAATTTTCATATACTTTATTTGATCATATTTAGACTCCTCCCTTCTCTGTACCCCCTTTAAAGTATCTGGCCTGATTTGATGTATTCTACTATATGTCTATATTTTTGTGTATATATATAGCTATACAAATATGTTTTAATGCCTATCAAGTCAAATTTGTATACCACAGTGTCTTTCAGTGTGAATCCAGCCACTGGAGCCTGTTTAACCTATGAGTCACAACCTTGAAAGAAACTGAAACTCCCCCTCCCACCAACTCTCTGTTGCCAACATTTTCTCAGCTATAGTTGTAATTTCTTACATACTTCCATGCATCTTTATTGGGATATCATCTGAATTGAGCTTACATGGAACATGTGTATGCTGTCACAATTGCTATGAATTCATTTGAGTAAGTGCCTAGCTGTCTGGAGACTTGCAGCCACCAACCACAGCTCTTACAATTTTTCTGCCCCATTTCCCACAATGTTCCTGAGTCTTGGAAGACAGACGTTTATATAGGTGTGCTATTTGAGGATAAGCACCCTACAGTCTCTTATACTCTGCACATTGGCAAGCCGTGGGTCTCTATGTTAATTACCATATGCTGCATGAGGAAATTTCTCTGGTAACAATTAAGCAATGCTTTAAACTATGGGTATAACAATAAGTCATTAAGAGTTGTTTTAATACTATATATGTTTAGCCAAATATTACTAGTAGGCCCTCACCTATGGTCTGTGATCTGTCTTGATCAGGTTCTTAGGCCTTATATCAGTGTCAGGCATGGGCTCTATATTGTGAAGTGGACCTCAAATCCAATCAGAAGTTTGTTGGTTACTTCCATAAAATTCATGCTACCATTGCACTTGTAGACATATCTTCTAGTATAATTCATGCTGTATTTCATAGAATTCAAATATGGGCAAGGTCAACAATCACCCCTCTCTTCTGCTATAATGTATAGCACCTTCCAGGACTATGAAAACTACCCAGTGGAAATGAAACTTTCAGGTGAGTACAAGCCTGATTTCTCCTTGTTTTATCTACAAGTCATGTATGTGGTATCTTCATCAACAGGGTCTTACTGTCAAATTCTGGTGTGTACAGAAGAGCAGGGGTAATGACCAGTATTGTTTGAGGATCTAAGGGACCCCAGGTCAACAGCTTCAAAAGATGGAGTCCTGCTGTTTACTCTTTCTTTGCTAGCCTAACTGGAGCAATAATTCAAGTAAAGAAAATAAAGGGAATACAAATTGTAGAGGGAGAAGTCAAATTTCCTTATGTTCAGAGGATGTGAGGCTATACATAAAAGAGCTGTGCGCTCCACCAGAAAACTCCTGGAGCTGATAAACACATTCATCAAAGTAGTAGGTAGGATATTAATTTAACACACACACACAAACAGCAATCTTCCTATACCAACAGCAAGTGTACTGAGAACTAAATCAGTGTGATTATCCTACTCACAATAGCCTCAGAAACCATAAAATGTCTTGAAAAAAATCTAATCAAGAAAGCCAAGTATTTTCATAATGAAAGCTTTAAGACACTGAAGAAATAAATTAAAGAAGATACCCAAAGATGGAGAGACCTCCCATACTCTTGAATAAATAGGATTAATGTGAAAATGGCCATCCCACCAAAACTAAGCTACAAATTCAAGGCAATACTCACTAAAAAATTTAAATCTTTATAAAATTGAAAAACTAATCTCAAATTTTATATGGAAACACAAATACCCCAGGAGAGCCAAACTAATCCTGAGCAATAAAAGAACTGCTGGAAGAATTGTCATTACTGACCTCAAACTATACTACAGAGCTATCATAATAAAAACAACATAGTACTGCCTAAAAATAGACACATTTATCAATAGAGTAGAATTGATTACCCAGTTGTAAACCCATAATCTTACAGCCATTAGATTTTCTTTAATGAGAAAAAATACACACTGGAGAAAAGACAGCGTGTTCAACAAATGCTGTTGATCAAACTAGATAGCTATATGCAGAAGAATGAAAATGGATCCCTATCTCTCACCCTGCACAAGAGTTCAACTCTAAATACATTAAGGAACTCAACATAAAACATAATATCCTGAAGCTGATTGAGGGGAATATAGGGACTACACCAGAACTTATAGGTACAGGAAATGATTTTATGAACAGGACTGTTTTGTGTAGGCATTAAGTCCAACAATGAACAAATGGGACCTCAAGAAAGTAATAAGTTTTTTACAGCAAAAGGACACCATCATTTGATTGAAGAAAGCGGTAACCTACAGAATGAGGAAAATTTTTACCAACTGTACCTCTGACAGAAGGTTAGTAGCTATAATATACAAAGAACTGAAAAAAACTAAACATCAGAATAACCCAATTAAAAACTGGGGCAAGGAACTGAAACACAAATGGATGAGAAATCTTTTTAAGTGTTCAACATAGTCATCAGAGAAATGCAAACTAAGAACACTGTGAGATTTCATCTTACCTCAGGCTGAATGACTAAGATCCAAAAAACAATGACAAACAATGGCTAGGATGTAGGCAAAGAGGTACTTTTACCTAATGCTGGTAAAAGTTCTAACTGGTGCAGCCACTATGGACATCTGTATGAAGATTCCTCAAAAAGCTAGAAATAGATCTAACATAAGATCCAGCCAAACATCTCTCAGACATTTACCCAAAGGACTCTATATCCTCCTACAGAGATACCTGTTTATACTGTTGCTCTATTCACAATAGCCAGGAAATGGAAACAATTGAGATGTACAATCAACCAACTAATGGATAATGAAAGTATGGTACATTCACACAATGGAATTTTATTCAACTGTTAACAAAATTGAAATTATGAAATTTGTATGTAAATGGATAGAACTGGACAGCCATTCTGAGTAAGGTAACTCAGACCCAGAAAGACAAACATCAAATGTTCTCTCTCATAAGTGAATGCTAGCTTTTATCCTTAGAGCTCAGAAAACTCCTAAAAGCCATCCTGGTGGTTAGGAGGAACTTCTTAGGAAGGATATAGAATGCAGTGATATAAAAGGGAAAGGGGAATAATGTACTAGGAATGGATAAATGGGGGGGCAGGGAGAAGAAGGAGTAAGGAGGGATAACTAATTCTAAAGACCTTTATGAAAAGTCATGTGGAAACCTACCATCATAAAATCTTCTTAAGGCATCTACATATACAATATAAAAGAAATTAAAAGCAGTTACCCTATAATAGGGGGACATTTCTCCTTTAGCTCTTCTTATAATTTCCAGGAAGCAAGGCATATAAAAGAATTTTACTATGCTGTATACAACCATTACTGTACATACATACAACCATATGCTCAGAGCCAAGCTTCTTTACATCCTGTCATACATACATCATGCTCCTTCAAGGACTGTGTGGACCAAAAAAGTACATTGTTCCACACAAAACCACTGAAGCATTTTCTTGTCTTATAGATTAGCCATTGAGCTAGGATCCCATTTTGTTTCTTAAAATGGCCCTAAAAATCAGCTCTAGCCCCTCTAAACTGCATTCTAAGAAGAGGCCTAACATCTAAATGCATGCATTTGTGATCCTTAGAGACCTGAAAGTTTTAGCCTCATCTCAACTCTGCATCCTGAAACAGCTCTGTGGTTAAATTTCAGAATCTTGCAACTGGCACACTATGACAGTACTGCCTGCCTGGGCAATTACCTGATGATCCAATAGGAGCCCTCCCATGGATCCGAAGGAAGCCATGCCTATCCACTCACATAACTGGCCCGTCATTTGTAAGCCTTAAAGTGCAGCTTTGAAATTAGTACAGTCATTCAAAGCCTAGAAAGGATCCACATTCACTAGAGTTCTGAGTATGAGGTCTATTGTGTGATCCCGTCTGTAGGCCCATTAAATGTTAGTGGTAATAACTACACAACCACAGAAAGAGTAAAGCTCACTAACCCTTAAATTGTACCATGGAGTAATAACTTCAAAATGTATTTTCTGCAGCTATTTCCTCAAGAAATAAATATGCCCTCTTGATGGGAGAAGAGGGGCTCATAAGGCTCAGGAGACTGACAAGGAACAGGGCTCAAGATGCCCCTCCTTGAGGTTTTATAAACTGTAAGCAACCACTAGAGAGAGGGGACACCTTGGTAATGTAGCTGCTGGTAAATTGTTCAGAGCATTCCAGCGACTCATAGACCCCAAAAAGAAAGCAATTGCTATTGTTTTATTAACTTGATGTGTTGTACTTGTCAAGTTGCATTCTACACATTTTTATTTCCATGAATGGAATATAATCTTCTTTTGTCATTGAATAGTGTACTGCCAAATTCTTGAGAACAAGTGGCTGTTACTGGATCACAGTGAACCAGTGCTCAGTTACAGATGGAGGAAAATAATCAGCCATCAATATCACTCCTTCCAAGCCTCACAGGAACTGCAGAACAGGAAGGGTAAAGGGAAAGATGGAAGAAGGTGTGGAGTTCTATGTGGTTTTTCTCCAAACTGAAGCTGTCATTCTTGGAGGATGGAGGGAAGCTCATAATATTCAAGAAATAAAATAAGGTGGAAAAGTCACAAAAGTCACAAAAGTCATAAGCTTCAGAAAGTTCCTGAAACAAAACTCACAGAACTCTCCAAACCTGCAAGCTGTTCAGAGAACACCAAGGATGTGGTTTTTGTGAGTCATTATCCATGCTAGGGTATACTGTTCAGTGACACAGCTGTCCTTGAGTCACCAGGCTTCTGTAATTAACCTCTCAGCCACAATACTAAAACTAACCCAAATAAATGCTCTCGGTTACACAAGGATGAAGTATTTTATTTTGTTTTTTATTTCTTTTCTTCTTTCAGATATTGTCTGTTCCATATCTGGAATGAATAAATATTTTTGTATAAGTCTTCAGAAAAAGCCACATCACATTTTGGACTAGTGATTGCTGTGATACTGGTAAATACTATATTAATAAACGTGAGCACTGAGTGCAGCCTTCCACCTCAATTTGAACAACAACTGTCAGGTGAGTATGGTAAAAGAGACTTGTTTCTTTAGGTCACATGACTTTAGGTCAAAGGGGACAGTATGAAGGAACCAAAATGTCCAAATTTGACTTTAGTTTCCTGATGATGCCCTCAGTGTTTTCTATGGTGTGTGATGTATGGGGCTACAGATTGAGGGTGTCAATACTTTTCAGCATAGGGGCAATGTTTCTTCTACACTACTCAACATGTTCTGTATTTAATATTCTAATCTTTTCACTATTCCCTTCTGCACTGAAATGTAAATTTCATAATAATTCTAGTATTATTGACCTATCTTCGGGGTTCACTCAGCTTCTAGAATACAACAAATGTCCAACAAATATTTTTGAAAGACATGAATGGGCAAATGATTATCCCATATCTACTTGTGACGCTTCATTGGAGGCAGTAATTCTAATATACAGTTGAGGGTGTGGACTCTTAGAATGGGAGGAGAACATAACAACCAAACTAAGGTGTATATGTGCTTTATGCCCTATAAGAAGCACTATGTATCCCTTTCTTTGTGGGTTTTTGTCCTCACAAATGTCTCCATTTTCCCAAAAACAAGGACCATTTTCTTTCATATTTGTTGAGTCTCTCAGTACGCCTTACACCACAGAGTAGAGGAGGTTGGGGAACCCACCCTAACCCCAGCCAATCAACAACTAGAGACACAGACCCATCCCTGATACAGAAAGGGCACCTAGACAGCTTTAGACTAATAGAGAAAAGAAAGGAAGGAGGGGATCATTGTGACATCCTAAATCCAACAAAAATCCTAAAGCCCTCTAAAGTCAGTGTTTCCCCAGTTCTTGAGGGCCCTTCTCTACCCAAGAAGTCAGAAACTCCTACAAATAACTCTTTATGTTGCACTGAGCCATTTGTTTTACCATCTGTTAATTCTTTATCTGATGAAGAAAAACCTCAACTGCTAGCCACAATCTGACCTGAATCATAATCCTAAATGTAATTTTTACCCATAAATATATTTGAAAAAAGTAGTTTGAACCCAGTCTGAGCTCATCAGTAAAACCGTATCATCATGTATATGATAATGTTCATATACATAGCTCATAAATCATTAAAATAAAGTGAGATGCTGGGATGAGCATTTGAGTAACATGCATGGAGCCCTGGGTTCAATCCTCAGCCCCACAGAAACCCAGTGTGGTGTCGGGTAGCTGTAATCCCAGGACTCAGGAGATAGAGGCAGAAGGATGAGAAGTTCAAGATCATCTTTGGCTGTATAGAAAATTCACAATCATCCTGAGATACATGAGACCATCTTTAACAATGAATAATGTATGAAAAGTGTTGAGAACAGAGTTTATCTCTCTGTAGTGAACTGAGTCCATTTAGTGTGATCCTGCATACATGTGTTTAGTGCTGACCAACTGGGATTGTATTACCTATTAAGGAGGTAGTCCCTGGAGAAAACTGATTTCCCCCCTGCACCCTCGGCATCCATTGACTACCTGTACCTCTTCATCTAGAGGTGAGACCCTATGAAAATACTCCATCCACATCGTCATGTGGATGGGGTATTTTGTCATTGTACATATTATGTTAGACTACCATACCATGGAGGTTTCAGTGGTACAGCATCTCTCTCATGTCTAGACTGCATTATCTAAGAGTAGGCACCTTGCTCCTATGACTTGTAAAATCTTTTCTCTCCCTCTTTTAAGATGTTCCCAGGGCTTTAGGTATAAAGATGGCAGTGTAGATTTGCAGTTAGGGCTGAGCAACCCAGAGTCATTTATTATTTGCATTTGAAACAGTTGTGGAACTGTTGCAAAAAGAAGCTTCTTTGATGAGTCATTCATTTATTTATTATTTGTTTATTTACCTATTATTTATATTATATGTGTATGAACCTGTGTTATTTGTGTGTGTATGTGCATCTGTGTGAGTGCAAGTGTTCAAGTTCCATTGTATGCATGCAACAGCATAGGACAATATCAGGTGACAGTCCTCACCTGCTGCCTTGTTCAAGACAGGATCTCTTTTTTGTTCCCTGGTTTTAAGGCAGGCCAGCTAGCCAGTGAGTTTCTTGCAAATCTCATGCCTCTGCCTCCATCTTTTTGTAGGGTGATTCATGCTCAGTGGTCTACTCTTTATATCAAGATGGCATTGATGCAAAGTGGGATGAATTTTGTGCAAAGACATTTAGCAAGAGGGTTTGACAGAGCCTTGTGATCAGAGATCACTCTGTCTACCATCCTCCATCACAACATATAAGTCAAAACTAGTTGTCTCCTATCTGAAGTGGGAGGTATAATATATTAATTCTTACCTGGAATTCAATCATCCTCTTTCCACTCATACTTTCCTATGTAACAATTTTTTTATATATTTGGCTATAAAATATGTAGCTTAAATAATTGTTATTTAAAATAACTTTACATCTCATCTCTCCCCACATTATTCAAAATACTTAATAGGGTATCATATTAATGACTACAAAATGCTAATAAAATAAATAACCATTGAGTAAAATAATCCAGACTAGTCCATTTTACATTCTTGGTTTGATATCTTCTAACCTCAAATGTCAGATAAACTTAGAACCAATGTTTATCTGACATAATTTGTTATCAAATAATTTGCATGAATATCAAGTGAATATGCACAAGTATTTCCATAAAATGAAAACATGAGAGGTCAATTGAGGTTGAGAGTTCTTGTAAATTAGTTGTGTTTGTGTGGAATGAACTGCTCAGTGCTCACCTGAGAATGAGCTGATGATCTCTGGTGATTTGAATCCAGAGCTGCTTCAGAGACTAATAATCAATGATAAACACTTGATAGTAGGGGACAGCTTAGCAGCTATAACACCATAACAACCTTCACTTTCCCACTTTGCAAAGAATTCTCATTTCAAGAGGTAAGAGTTAGGGTTGTAGTCAAAAGGTGAATACTTTCCTCATTAAGCTTGTATCTTTTTTAAAAGTGTATATGTATTATAAACCACAGTTGTGAAATAAGCCAGTAAGAGACGTACCATCATCCAACAAAAAGAAAAAAAAGAACTCTTGTAGAATCAACTTATATTTTCATATTTACATTCTTCTGAATAATCAGGAGTAAACTACATTTTCAAATATTCCTTATTCATTAGTCCACTGAGAAGACAAAGACTCGATGAGGCTTTTAAAGCGTATAAATTTGGCACTCAGCCAAAATGCTAATACATTCACCTACCTGAAGTGCATCGACAGCTTACTGTCAGTGAATATTTTGTTCATTGACTGAATTTTTAAGCATCACAGACTCCAGGCACTGTGCAAAAACATGAGGATATGAAGCCAAATATTTCAGGAGTCATCCTCCATCTAGCAGGTGAACATCAACAAACTTCTGAAGCTTTTAGGTGAATATTTATTTACAATGGTACTATGCTGAAAATTAGACTATTTCATTTCAGCATGCTACATATAGAAAAACTTATGTTAAAAAAGATTTGATGTGTCTAAATAAATGCTAAAATAATATTCTAAATTTTTTCAAATTTCAACGTGATAATATAATGATATTTCAAATGAACAATGACTTATTTAGAAGTACTGAATATGTAATGCATTCATAGTGCATACTTCTGCTTATAATTCTATTGATTATTTCTATTCTTTCCATTTCTCACAATAACATTATTTATTTCTTTAAAAATTGATTAAAAGATGACCTTGCTTAGCTGATAGACTGTGTAATCTATGTCACTAGTCAAGAACTTCTTTTACATATTTGTAGTAAGAAAGCTAAAGCAGAACTAGCTTCTATCCCAATTCCAACGACCTCTCAATTTCATTGTAACGCTTCATATATGGTATAGTTACTAAGAGGAACTGACTGAGGTCAATCCGCCTGTGTCCATGTTTAATTCTACTACTTTTCATGTAAAATTAAATAATTTCTATTTTAAAATTAAATTTTCTACACTCTGAATTGGAACTAATAAATGTACTTCATGGAAGTGTAAATATTACTACACATAAATTTTAAATCTCCAGCTATTGATTTAGTAAACACTGACTAAAAGTTATCAAATATTTAAGTCTTCATTACATAATCCTATGCTTGTATATTTTGGCACTTTTTGTGTTTTTAATTACTTTGTTACTTTCATGGGTCTCACATTTTAAAATCCTTAGCTTTGAAGGAACTAGGCATATTTTATTATATATAAATGTAAAGAAAAGACAAACATTATATTAGGCAAATTTCTAGCATTCCAGTTTTGAAATTTTAAGATATACTCATTGTTCACAAACGTAAAAGCACTGAACATTCAAAGAAAAACCTCAATTGTTACACCAAATTTTTCTTTCATGTTATTTTACTGATGTATCTTTCAATGAGAATGAGACTCCATATTCATGAATTCCTTCATATCTTCATCACAACTCTTTTGGAGGAACGACTACACTTTCCCATGGCTTTCCTGGGGAATGGGAATCACACTGCCGTGACAGAGTTCGTTTTGCTTGGCTTAACAGACAACCCAGTCCTTCGAGGCATTGTCTTCATCATCATCCTGTGCATCTACCTGGTGACCCTGTCTGGAAACCTCAGCACAATTCTGCTAATCAGAGTCTCTCCTCAGCTCCATCACCCCATGTACCTTTTTCTGAGCCACTTGGCTTTTGCTGACATTGGCATTTCCTCTTCTGTCACACCCAATATGCTTGCCAACTTCCTGGTGGACAGGAATACCATCACCTACCTTAGGTGTGGCATCCAGCTTGGCTCGAGTACTCTCTTTGGATCAACTGACTGTCTCATTCTGGCTGTCATGGCTTATGATCGTTTCATGGCAATCTGTAGCCCACTGCTTTTATGATCGCTTTGTGGCAATCTGTAGCCCACTGCTTTATTCAACCAAAATGACCACACAGGTCTGTGTTCAGCTGCTTATAGGATCTTACATAGGTGGTCTTCTTAATGCTTCCTCCTGTACCCTTTCCTTCTTTTATTTTTTCTTCTGTGGACCAAACAGAGTCAATCATTTTTTCTGTGACTTTACTCCTTTAGTTGAACTCTCCTGTTCTGATGTCAGGGTCCCCAAAGTTGTTACCTTAATTTCTGCAAGCACTGTTCTTTTGATCACAGTGTTAGTCATAAGTGTCTCCTACACCTACATTCTCATCACCATCCTGAAAATGCACTCCGCTGAGGGCCGCAAGAAGGCCTTCTCCACCTGCACCTCGCACCTCACTGCAGTCACTCTCTTCTATGGGACCATCATGTTCATTTATGTGATGCCCAAGTCCAGGTATTCCGCTGACCAGAACAAGGTGGTGTCTTTGTTCTACATTATGGTTATCCCTATGTTGAATCCCATCATCTATAGTCTGAGGAATCATGAGATTGAGGGAGCTCTCAAGAGACAACTTGGTAAGAAAATATTTTCATAGAGATGTCTGTTCTTTTATAGGGTTTGGTATAATAATGATATTCCTTAGATAATTTTAATTAAAAATCTGATTATCTTTTGTTGGAAAATATTTTAAGAAATTATTTAACCAAGCGTGGAGATTTTTTAGTAATTTTAATTGTATATATTCCAGACTTGAATTAGAAAATTATAGGTTCACAGTGAGTTACATTTAATACATTTTATTTATAATTGAGAGTAGATACATATGTTTCAATTGGAAGACCCATAGAGGTCAGGAAAATAAATGGCCATGGTGGGAGGAGGGTTCATGGGAAGGGAGATCATATGCAGAGATATAAAGTGAGTGTGCTGGATAGCTTTAGTGTCAACTTGACACACCTGGGTTGAGGGAGTCTCCATTGGGGAGTTGCCTCCAAAGAACTGGCCTGTGGCCATGTCTGTGGGGCATCTTCTTGATTGTTGTATGATGTGGGAGGGCCCAGCCCACTGTGCGTGGTACCCCCTGGGCAGGTGGGTCTGTGTTGCATAGAAAAGCAGGCTGAGAAGGGGCCAAGAGCAGTAAGCAGCATTCCTCCGTGGCCTGTGTTCCAGCTCCTTCCTCCAAGTTTCTGCCCTTAGTTCCTTCCTTGGGCTCCCTGATGAACCGTGACCTGAGAGATGTAAGACAAATAAAACTTTTCCTTCCAAAGTTGGTAGTGGTCAGAGTGTTTTGTCACAGCAATGAAGAAACAAGCTAGAACATGGAGGAAGGGAACTCTGGAGCATGAGGATTAACTAGGATAGGGAATGGGAGGGCAGAGCAGAGGAGAATGTATGGGTAGGGATAATTAATACTAGAGATCTTCAGAAAAAGTCATATGGAACCCTGCCACTATATCAACTTCTTAGGTATATAATTATACATTATAAAAAGAGATTAAGTGGAATTACCCTATAACATGGTACATTCCCCTACCAAACACCATAGGCATGCCAAGAAAATCTCAGTGCCAAGAATAGACACCGTCTTTTGAAACTCTTTATCAGGGTTCCTATGCAGACTCAAAGTGTGTTGACATTGCTCCTGATCTTGGTTTCTCACCAGAATTTCATGGTAAAACCTTTCTACTAACAAAACTACATATAGGATTTGTGGACCTAACAAGGGGAAATCAAGATACTACTCATTTCATTTCTACTGAACAGCTTTCATAGTGCTAGAAGGTGCTGTGCAAGCTACAGGAAGAAAGTAATGGTCATTGACCTTGGCCATGTGAGAATCCTGTGAGCTATAACATCAACTATTTTAGCAAGATATGTCCACAAGTTCAATGGTGGCATGAATGTTATGGGAGGAATCAACCACTTTTTGATTGGATTTGAGATCAACTTCACATAATGGTGTCCATTCTAGATGCTGAGATTAGGACTAGGAACTTGTGGGTAGACAAGGGAGAAGCCACAGGAAAGAGCCAACTAATATTGTTTTGATAAATAGATATGGTAGCAAACTAACTCTTAACAACTTCTTGTTATGCCCATAGACTAATGCATTTTCCACTCTTACCAGAGAAGTTTTCTCGTGCAGCAGATGGTGATTAACCCAAGACATACAACCGGCCAGTGTGCAGAGAATAAGAATGTCCATAGTGCTTATCTCTGAATATACACCTATATAAAATGTCTGTCTCCCAAGGCTCAGGATCATTGTGGAAAGGACGAGGGATGGACAGAAAAGTTCTAAGAGTCAGAGTTTTGGATAACCAAAAGGGAACAGACTTTTCCAGACAGCTGAGTTGTTACTCATATGAAATCACGGCAGTGGTCACAGCATCCCACACAAGCTGAAGACAGACAAAACATCAGCATAGATGTGGGGAAGTTGACAGGAAACCTCAACCCTAGCCTAGAAACTATTGGCAACTGATAGGTGTCAGGAGTGAAGAGTCAGTCTACTTTAAGGGTGTGAGTCTGGGTAGGTTAACCAGCCTCCAGGTTGTTACTCATATGAAATCACGGCAGTGGTCACAGCATCCCACACAAGCTGAAGACAGACAAAACATCAGCATAGATGTGGGGAAGTTGACAGGAAACCTCAACCCTAGCCTAGAAACTATTGGCAACTGATAGGTGTCAGGAGTGAAGAGTCAGTCTACTTTAAGGGTGTGAGTCTGGGTAGGTTAACCAGCCTCCAGTGAATGAACCCACACTGAAGGCACTTGAGGACACAAAGGTGATTCAATAAT